GGTAGAAGATTAGATTCTCTATGTTGCATGTATTGCTAGTTTTCTTTTTTATTTTTAACTGATATGCTTTATTGCCCTTGAAAATTGATTCATTTGGAGTTGTTTGATGGTTAATTGATTTTGGGCCAAGATCGAACAACTAATTTAAATCAAAGGAACCGATAACAAAACATGGTGTCAATCTATTTAATTTCGAAATTTTGTTGTTCAGTTCGGATTGCACCTAACCTAATTCAATTAACAACCATGGTATCGGTGGTTGCGGAAGATTAGGTTCATGGACCATTCCGTGGTCGCTTGTGTGGAGTGGTATACTGCAACCATTGCTATCGGTCGCTAGAAAATGCCAAAATCATTTTTAAAAAGCGGAAATTTATTGCGCCAAATGTTTTAGCAGAAGATTAGGTTCAGGGACCACTGAGTGGTTGCTAGAGGGGAGTAGTATACTGTAACCATCACTATTGGTCGCTAGAAAATGCCAAAATCATTTTTAAAAAGCGGGAATTTATTGCGCCTAATGTTTTAGCGACCACGACATCGGTGATTGCAGAAAATTAGGTTCAGGGACCATTTAGTGGTCACTGGAGGGGAGTGGTATACTGCAACCATCACTATTGGTCGCTCGAAAATGCCAAAATCATTTTTCAAAAGTTGGAATTTATTGCACCAAATGTTTTAGCGACCACGATATCGGTGGTTGCAGAAGATTAGGTTCAGGGACCATTCAGTGGTCGCTTGAGCTGTTTTCATATGTGGAAAGTTTTTACTCTTTTTCCACACTACCTTTACCAACCAATCAAATGTATGGTCTCTAATTCTCTGAATCAGCGACCAAACATTGGTCGCAATAAAACATAACAAAATTTGTCCAGTTTTACTAGACCAAAATCTATACCAACCATTAGTTGGTCGCTGTACGTGTCTTACAGCAACCACGTTTTAGAGGTCGCTAAAACTTTGGTCTGTGGAACCCATTTTTTTTGTAGTGTATGTTGCCTGATTTTTGTTGAGGAGAACGTAAAATGTGTGTCTTCAATGATCAGGGAGGAGGGTGGAGCCATAATATAACGACTTGCCTAGCCCATAAGAAGCTAAAAAAAGGCTCCTCCATAACAACATGACATTGCTAAGCAGCTTAATTTCTCTGGGATTTTGAGCAATGAGCCACAGTTTAACCCAGGTATTCTTTTATCTTTTGATTGACTTTGATTTTGATTTATATTCGGACTTTTAATCTTCTTTAGTGTTGTCTTTAATTATTATTATTATCTCATGAAAATATCCAGATTTCCATAATTGGAATAAAATCAAGATTAGATATTGTGATGGTGCATCATTTAGTGAGGATGTAGAAGCAGTGGAACCTGTAAGTCATCACAATAGATATATACATAAGATTATTTTTTGCATTTTTCTATTTAGCAGAGAATAGGTATATATAATTTAATGCCATTTTGTGAAACTATAGTGGATGGCTTTCTTGTTCTAATAATTTTTTGTAAACTTCGATTGGGCTACCAAACTTCACTTCAGGGGAGCAAGGATTTTTCTTGCTATGATGGAGGAGCTACTAGAGAGAGGAATGAAGAATGCTGAAAATGTATGATCTTTTTCATATGGATATTCCTTCATTTTTTATTGAATCAAACATCAGTAACTTGTAGTATTCTTAGCAGGATGTTCTGAGTGGATGTTCAGCTGGTGGGTTGACATCTATTTTGCATTTCAGATGCTGGTTTTTTTATAAATGTGTAAGCTTTCATGCAGGGCATTGTATCAAGACAAGATTTAATGTCCAGAAGAATTATGGTCATCTATTTAAGCTAAATCTAACATCGTTTATCCTCTGTTACAGGAAATCTGTTTTTGTAGCAACATATATCGAGGATTACTACAACGACGTGGTACCTACACATGTATGAATTTTCTTCTATAAACAATAGTTTATATGCTTATTGAATAGAAGTTTGACCATCTTCTGATTGCATTTTCGTCATTGAATTGGATGTAGGGAGCGGCGAAGAACTTGCCCTCATCGTGTACGTCAAGAGGAAAACCCGGATTGGTAAGAGCAATTTTATTGACTAGATTAAATGATTTTACACTGTGACATAACTAGTCTCATGCTGATATCATTCAAAATGTTTAGTGTTTTTTCCCTCAAAACATCGCACAACAAATCCGGACGCCACTTTTCATTACAAATGCTGCCTACGATTCGTGGCAGGTTAGTGATCTCAATGACATGAGCATATTTTGTTGTTA